AAATAAGGAGGCGCTGCTAGCTGGCTGATAAGTTGTTGTTCCGAAGATAGCGGTGCCTTTTAGCAGAATGTTTGACCTTTTTATTTTACATTGCCTCAGGCCTATCTAAGACCCTCAAGATCTATTTCTCATCTTAAAAATCCTCTGTAGGAAAACAGTGTGTGGCTTAAGAAAACCTTTAAATTGCTTAATGTCTCTCTTTCCGACCCCTGATAATTATAGTTATGCTGGGTAATCTCCCTATCATTTTGCAAAATAGATTTTCCTTCTTCCAATAACGGACACATTTTTTTGACATTGGAAACAACATGTTGAATATTTTATGAAGACTAAATGTATAGGGAAGGAGAGGTAAAAGTACTTTCATATACGTGGAGAGAAAGAATGTTTTATGCAACTTGAAAAGTACTTTGGGACTAATAAAACCCTCAAGCTTTATTATTTATTCCTGCATCACAGTAATCATCGGCTTTGATTTGAGTGGCTATGCAAAATCCCATCTTCAATATATATATTTTTTCTTCTCTGTTGCTGTAAGTATCAAATTGAACCACAAAATGGAGAGTTTCAGGAAACATCATTTCACCTTGGGGAATATGGTTGTGGATACTAAGAAGTCAAAATGTTTAAGTCTGCTTAATGGAACCTCTGTAATGTCAAATACTTGGAGTTTTTGTTAAGATACTTGCAAATTGTTTCAGAATATTTGGACTGTTGATTTCCAAGATGGACTCAGCCAAGTTTTCTTTTAGTGAGCAGTGCTCCTGATACTTTGAGGAAGTAGGAAGATTTACAGGTTTCTAAATCTCTGTGACTAATTGCAATCAGGACAGCAGATCTTGTGTTTAGTAGATACATGTTGTATTGTTTCCACCTAAGAAACAGCATTGCTTTACTTTTTTATTTTATTTTTTCATTTATCTTTATTGTTGAAAGTATTACAAATGTCCTCCCCCTCCACCCCCATTGATCCCCTCCACCCTGCACCCCTCACCTCAGGCCTTCACCACACTATTGTCTGTGTCTATGCTGTTTTACTCTTTTATAAAAATTGCTGATCATGTGCATTTCAGGAGATTGAAATCTCAAATTGGCTCAAATTTCTGCCAAAATATGTTCAGAGACTCCTAGAACATAATTTTCAAGTAGTGTTTACTATGGAAAGAGAAATTCCATGGATTTAATGCTTTTATTTCAGATACAGAAATGAAATTTAGACTTTTTCTAAATCATGAATTGCAATTTTCATGTACATTCTATGTAGTTCAAATCTTTTGAAAAAAAAAAAATCATAGTTATTGAATGTTACCTTTTGAATGATTCACAGATACCTCACACTTGACATTAAAAACTTTTTTCTCTAATACTTTCTTCTCTTCCTGTACCACTTATTACGGTTAATTCATCACTAATCTATTCACCAAGCTGGAACTCTCAACTAGTCACCCTCAGCTAGTCCCTTATTCCCTTTGTGGGTGATACAAATTGATGTGGCTGGCGGGATGACATATGTTCACCTACTTCCTCTACTGATGACAGATTATTGACTAAAGATTAGTTTACTTTCTAAATAAGAGAATTGAGATGTATTATATATAACTTTTACCCACTTTCAGGAAGTACTTCTTGAACATTTTCATTAGAAACAAAAGAGAGTAACTCATCCTGTTTGGGGGTTTAGAGCGGAATTTCTTTCAGGAATCATACCATTCATTCCTCCTCCTTTTTTGGGCTACTTGCTGAGAATACTAAAATTCCAAAGAAAAAAGTCAAATGGGAAGCTAAATGTTGCCCTATTACAAGTTGGGAAAGCCAATAAGAAATCTCTAACCTCTCATTTCTACTCTGTCCTCACTCCACTGACTGACAAAAACTGAACTCCTTTGGTAAGCGCAGTCGACTTAGACATGGAAGCCCGACGGCCTATACTGCTTCCTGTTTACTGAATTTCTGCTGGTGTCTGTGTATGTAGAAGACACCTAATACACGTGGCTCACTTAGTAACTGAAAGCTGAACTTCAAGGAGGTTAAATAACTTTCCCAGAGTTACCCAGCTTAGTGAGTGGTAGAGCAGACTTGAGACCATGTCTGCCTGGTTCACTGCTAGGTCCTCAGCCACTTTACCATGGATAGACATTGTAAGTGAGGAATAAAGAAATGGATATGAGAAGATGATGGGGAAAGATTAATTTTTGAAAATCACCTTGGAAGAGGTTGTGGTTGGGCAAGAACTTGGAGCCTTCAGTGCAAAGTCATAGATGACAAGAGGGCTCCAGACTCTGAGAATCACTTAAGTAAATGTGCCAAGACAGTATGGTTGTGGAACAGTGAATAAACCTGTGTATCAAAAAAAACAGGAACTTGAATGATAGATGAAGTTGCATAGATATGTAAGGGCCAAATTACAGAGGCTTTTTGTGGCAGGCCGATTTCTCATTTCATTTTTTAGGTGACAGAAAATCCATCAAAGGCCTCTGATATGGTAGAAATCAGACCATATGAAAGTGGGGTTGTGATGTGTTTAGACAGTATAGGCATGAAGATCACTTAGAAGTTTGTTGCTGCAAACTGAGTGAGAGAAGATTGAGAAGCAAGAGAAGGTGATGTGAGAACCTTTCAGAGTTACAGTAGACGGTGATCCTGCCATAAATCCAAGGTCACAAAGGTAATCAGTGATAGATCCAGAGCTATAACCAGGTCTTCTGATTGCCATTCTTATCAATAGTCCATCCACTTAAAAATAGGTGCCAGAAACATTTTTAACTTTTGAAGAAGAATGACTTTGAAAATGTCACCCAACCTTCAAATCTCTATTTTTATTCATCATTGGATGGTGAGATATAAAGCATCAATTATTCATCATGTATTCAATGTTTAATTGCTGGTTAATAGCTCCTAATATATTTCAAGGAAATCATGTTGTTTGTTTACTTGGGAAATCAATTTCTGTAGATGTAGGTAAAAGTATGCTCTCAATTCTATGAGTCACACTACAGCTCTGCTTCTTAACGCCACAGAAGCCCAGGGCTGGAAGCAAGAACCATTTGAACTTTGATATTACCTGAAGCTTATGTAATTTCAGAGTGTCTTCTTTAAGAAAAATTGTACAAAATTATGAATATAAAATTATATCTTCAGATTAAGGAAGGATATCACAGTAAATTACTGGTACCATAGGGATTCAGGTCTCTTTCTGCTTAAATCTATTTGGCTGTTTACTAGATACGCTTCAAACAAGTGCAGCCTTGCTTTTCCTTTATATTATGCTATGTGCAACTCCCAGCCTTCATAAAGGCCCTTGTATGGGACGAACGTTAAAGCATAAGCTTCACTTGCTTCACAGAAAGTCTACCTCTGGTTGGAAGGAACCTTTGATTATCTAGTCCAAAGCTGCTAAGTCATCACCCAGCCCTTCAAGATGGGCTCACTGTTTTTTTGCTGAAAGGAAATTTCAGTATTACTACTTTTCAAAAATGTGACTGTTTTGTTCCTCCTTTCCCATCAAAGTTAAACATTTAAATAAAATTATCAAGTGGGGAAGAAGAGTATATTCCTTAATATACACCCGTGGATTCCTTCCTCTCACTGCTTCACGTGGTTCCTCAGTAATTCTTGTTTGACCCATTCAATGTATCTTTATATTATTACTGCTTCTGTCGCAAGCTTTATACAAAGTATGTCATGGTTTAAATGTCGTTTATTTTAAAAACAGTTGCTTTTTTAAAAATTACGAGACAAACAAAAGTCTTTTACATTTACATTACTATTTACTATTTTGTGGTGTTCATTTATTCTTATAGACATAGGTTCCATCTAGTATCTTTTAGGTTTTCTTGTAATACAGGTCTGCTGGAAATGAATTCTCTCCTTTTATTTATCTGAGAATGATTTAGTTTACCCTCATCTTGAAGAATATTTTCGCTGGATATGAATATTGAGAGTTTTGTTCTTTTATCACTTTCAAGATTTTATTACTGTCCTCCGTGATTCCTGAGAAAAACTCAATGACCATTCTTATTGTTGTTCTTTTGTATGTATAATAGCTACCTTTTCCTGTTTGCTTTAGATATTTTCTGTTTTTGTTTAGTTAAAGTTTAATTCTCAGTTGTTTTTTTTTGTTTTGGACTAGAGCTCATTTTAAAGCAACATATTGCTGTGCTCTTCAAGTGCGATACAATACTGACTTCTCAGTCAGTTGCTTTGTTGATGTCCATAGTCATCTTTACTCTTCTTTAGCTGTTGATGACCTGGTTTTGGATTCACCAAACTCTTTGATTTTTTATTTTATCTTACTATTAACATTTTGGGAAATTCACTGCTCATTTGAGTATCAGAGAGAGGAGAGACAAAGAATGGAAGTCACACTTAAGTTTATACATTTTTGATAGAACTGTTAATTCTGTTGTTGGAGAAAATGGAAATTAACTTCATGGTTGTTTGTAAATTTACCATTGTTATTCTTACCTGGTAAGAACTTCTAATTTTTTTGTTTTAAACTTTACATGTTCTTTAACATGTCCTGATCGAAGTTTGGAGATACACCAAACACAGCACAAGTGCATAGCCCCATTGCTTTTGAGAGTTGAATAAGGTCTAATATATCAGAGGCAGTTTATATACCATAAAGCTTAGTTCACAATATTAAGGTATTTTCATCATTTTTTGAACTAGGAAACTGAAGTCTGATTGTAATTCTTACTTAATTTATTGGGGCTTGACATATGCTCCATACAGCATCCCAGTCTGTCAAAGACACAGACGGATCTGCTGGGTGATAGGACTGGAAAAGCGGCTTGCAGCACAGCCTGGCTTAGCTCAAAGCCTGCTCTTATCCTGGGCTGCATTCAGAGTTGGCAGCCTTAGAGATTGTGAATGCTGTACCTATTAAGTACTGGACGATGGCAAATGTCTCTGTAAGAGTTTCTAATATTTAAATGTATGTACCTTTGAGCTGTATGAACTTTCTATTAAAACCCAGTTCTCTTAATTTTTATTACCAGGTAACCTTGGACGGGTGGACCAGGTCTCTGAGTTTGAGTATGATTTGTTCATTAGGCCCGATACCTGTAATCCACGCTTCCGAGTCTGGTTCAACTTTACTGTTGAAAACGTGAAAGAATCACAGGTGAGGGAAATAATGGATACCTTCAGTTTGGTTTTGGTAAGAATATCATGCTTTTGTTTTAGTTTAGGAATGTTAAAAAATAATGACCATATTTGGGATGTATTGTTGTATGTGTATAGCAGTGATACAGTTTTGTTTCAAGAGATATAGATAAATAGGTATAATATGTTGTTTTTTGTTATCTAAAAGTTATTAAATAATGCAAACAGATTATTTGAGAACAAAAACTATTCTTTACAGATTGAAGCACTAGCTGGATATGGTAGGCTTCCTTGAGGAATACAATAAGAAACTATACGAGGTGACTGGTATTATGTTTATTATGGGTGCTGCTCTCTATATTATTTCTTCTGTATAAAACTTGTGAATCATTTACATTTCTCACAGGGCCTCAGTTTCAGGAAAAGCTTTTCTTCTCCTATATAATAAGATGTTTATGTCTTAAAAACAATATGATTCTTGTAATATATTCTATCTTTGCTTTGGCTGGTAGAAAATGCAGAGCCAATTTTATAGCCCTCTCTAATGATTTTGGAAAAATTTTTTGCTTGTGTTTCTGTGTACTGACTTAAAAAAAAAAATCTGATCATATTAATGTCTTTAACTATGATTTCATCACTTACATTTTCTAACAGTGTATGATTTTATAATCCTGTTCAAATCTGTTTTGGAAGGGAGAGTGTATTGATGAAAAAGAATGAAATACATATGCTTTGAACAAACATTAATAAAAGTAGAATCCTAAGAAATCAGTTATCACTCTGTTATATTGAGACAGCTGATCATGGAGGCTTTGTACAAACTTTGAACACATATGATAAGATTCTTTTAAGCAGATGAAAGCATAACCCCGTAACCTAACCTCTGCCTTCATTCAAGGCCATCTTTTTTTTAGTATACTCCGGAGAAAGTGAGGAGTTGTTTTAGTTTCCCCTCCCAAGTCAGTCTATCCTTTTTGCTCATTCACATGGCTGCTTCCTTCTTTCTACTTCTCTGAACTGCAATTTGAATTGTGTGTCAGGCAGTGGTCAGTGTCTGGAATGCAAGGACTCTGATTCTTCCTTGACACAGTGCTGCTCCTTGCACACTGGCTTCAGCAGAAGAGGGGTGCAGGACCAGCCACGGCACTTTATTACCAATTCTCTTAATTTCCTGAAACATCACTGACACAGGACTTGCTGTGTGTAATGTTTACTGAAGGTTAGGAGCTAACTGGAAGGAATTAAATATATGGGAGAGCTCTGAACATTGTTAGCTAAATATGATTTATCTCAGTATTTTAGGAGAAGTGGGGGAAAATAATTCTCAAAGTGCATTTTCCAAAGTCTATGTTACTGAGTTGCGACTATAACTCACTGCAGAGGCTTGAACCAGATGTACTAGGCTGAGTCTTGGCACTCCAAGTTCGGGTCCCCTGTGAAGATCTGTGTGCTATCATGAGGTAAACACACACCTCTTATTCTTCTGTTGGTGTTCCTGTCTCATGTCAGTCAGTAACTTACAGTTGGCACATACACACACTACTGAATAACGAACAATAATTGTGAGATAATATAGTCAATACATATGAAGGAAGGGAAACATTTTTTAAAAGAAGTGTTATATGTGAGGATTTCTAAGTTCACTAAGGGGATTGCTTTTCCTCGTTATGCACAGCAGATGTGCATCCTTCAGCTTGCCTACTGCATACAGGAACCCACTAACTCCTTAGAAATGAGACCTATTACTTTTCAAACAGCATCATCATCTATCCTCATTATTTCCTTTGCTAAATAGAGACTCAGTGAAAACTCTGAAATTATAGTGTTTCTTTATTTTTGGGCCACATTAAATTCCCAGCCTAGTTTTTCTTTCACTTTAGTCTCTCTCTCAAGAGTATTCTTACATAGCTCCTATGGAGGTCAGGAGATAACTAGAGATAACTAGAAAGTTAGGGGAAATTTGTTTCTTAAGTTAGACTGCCAGAGATAGTCTTTTGGACAAGTCACTCATACATTTCAAAGTTTCTTATTCTTTGCTCCTCTAGTTTGCTTACAGGTATGTTTTTTGTTGTTATCATTTACAATGTCTCTTCCAGAGTGTTAAAATATTCATATTACATGTTAAAGTCATGCAGCCTCTTTTGCAGTCTTGTCTACCAATTAAATAAGCAAGTAACATGATGTATCCCTAGGGATTGCTATAATAAGAGAGTTGGTGCTGTTTTATAGATCCTTATTTTTAAAGTTGGAGGAACTAATATTTTCTCGGTCTCTCTGGATTCTATCTTCATACCCAGTACTATTCTACCTTTGTTGCAGTTAGAAATCATGAACATGTTTATCTGGTTTCCTGGAGCCTGATGCTTTATCAGCTTCTTTCTGTGGGCCGTTGCTTCATCAACTGTAATCATATTATATAGTTATGGAAATCTGTCTCAAGAAAGCATAAAGATCGGCTGGAAAGATACAATATATATCTCTAGCACACAGGATATTTGTTTTCATGGATGTCTACATGAAAGAGAATGATTTTACTATTAAGTTTGACTTGTGAGGTCTGTTTTTATAATGTCTCTTCTTGTAATCTTTTTCCATCTCTCCAATTTCCGTTAAAATGAGACCTGCATGAATGTAATCTAGTCAGGAACCTTATTTTGGGTTTGGTACTAGCAGGCAAAAGAAATATTAGTCATCAAAGTCTGACTTCATTAAATGAATGTTAAAAATCAGCATCAAATATACTGTATAAACAGGTCTAGCTTTTGGGTTATTTTTCTTGATGTTTTTAGGAAGTGATAAAAACTTGGAACATCTAGTGCTGTATTCCAGGACTGATGTATAAACCTCCAAAAATAGTGGCTAACTAGTGCATTTGCAAGAGTCTGTGAAAACTGAACATCCTTTTACCTTTTTCTCTCTGAAAAACTGTATTAAATGTTCTTATGTGGAAATTTACTACTGATGCAGCAGAACACTCATGCTATGTGAAAGCAAATCATCCTGTTTAAATATTCACGATAAAACTTCAGCCAATGAGAGGAAATAAAATGGTATGCCTTGGCTATTTAAACTCTGTTTTATTTCCTTTATAGTCTTTACATCTCTTTAAATTTATTTTCCCCTTACTGATTATTAAAGTAGTCAATGCTCAATGTAGTAAATTTGGAAAATATAGATAATTATTAGAAGCAGAGGAAAACATATCCACCCACCCACCCACAGTCTCACTACCAAAAGTGCAAGTACTGTTAACCTTTTGGCATATTTACTTCTAGGCTTATTTATTTTCTGTTTCCTTTTTTGAAGCGTAACTTAAGTTATTACCATACATATGCTTTTCATGTCTTGCTTTTAAAGTAACATAACAGTATCACAAAGCAATTTGTATCTTAAAATTTTCATAAACATGGCTGGACAATAGCTGTTTACTACTGGACCATTTTCTTACTCTTGGGCATTAACTGTCGTTATAAAGAACAACGCAGTGGACATCTTTATGCATGAAATGTTGCCATATATTATTTTGCTTCTTTAGGATAAATTCCCATGAGCAGAATTGGTGGCCAAAGGAAACTAATATTTTAAAGGCTCTTGATACATATTGCTAAATTGCTGACAGAAAATTTATGCTGTTTCAGCACTGAATGAGATGCTTTTCTTTGAATTTCTTGCTGTGTTTTATGAACTCAGATGTTCATACATTTAGAACAAATTGGTTCTTTTTTCTCATTTACTTTGAAACTTCACACAAATAAATGGGATATGAAGTAATGTTTCGGGCCTTTAGAAATAAAGGAATTAATTGTATTCAAGCAATAACATGAGACAACAAAAGCAGACGCATTTGTTATTTTCACCTTTTTCTTACTTCATCAAGTCCTTTTATATGGGTGTGCTAACAGACTGTCCTTTGAGGTATGTCGTGGGAGACTTTAAAAAAGAAAAACTTTTTTTTTTTTAAACAATGAACTATTTCTTACATTACTGTAAGCAGTAATGTAGCTTAAACACACATGCGTGCACACACACAACAATACACACACTGATTTATATATAATATGTCTGACTAGAACTTTAAAATTCCAAGAGAGGAGTTGGTCATTAGAGAATAGCCTGAATGAAAGAAAATGGAAGGGATTGTAGTCATTGCAATTATTGGTAGTATCAAGGGGTAGAATTGACTATGGGAGCAGCTAGATGAAGTATAATGGAAGATAAGATATTGGAGAAGAGGAGCTCAAAGTGTCCAGAATGTCGGAAAAATGGTCTCTGTAGGTTTTGGAAAAATACCAGTGAGGCCTGAACAACAGTCATTGAGAAATGAGGAGGAAAGAGGGGAGTGCAAGATGACATCAATAATGAGAGGTAGTGGAGGGGTAATGTGGTAAAATGCGACTCCAAAGCTGCGTTCGTGGAACTGAAGGCTCAATGTTATGAAGACATGGTTCTCCCAAAAGCAACCTAATTTTAATGCAGTTCTAATAAAAATCCCCCCAAATTCATTTAATAAAACTTGACAAGCTAATTATAATATTCATGTAGGAAAACCAAGGGCCCCAAATAGCCAGGACTGCTTTGAATAATAATAATGAATGGGTATATGTTTATTTTATGGAAATTTGAATTTCAGCTAACAATTTTTATTTATAGAAACAGTGATTAGAATAGTTTGGCATTGGCATAAGAACGGGCAAATAGTCTAAACAAACAGACTGGAACTCAGAAACAAGGCTATTTATATAAGGGATCTTGATGTCTGACAGAGGATACAGTGCAAAATAGTAGCAATTGTAGAGTCTGTTCAGTCAGTTGAGTTGTATGGCAAACAGTATTCCTATCTCATACTATTTCAGAAAACTTTATAGATTGATTAAAGACTTAAATTTGAAAACAAATTAAAAATTTCACTATGGTCTGGTCTGATTTTTATTTTAAATATAGCTTCCTTTTCTTATTTTTGTCTCTCACAATGCAAATATCTTGGGAGTTATGCTAGTGCCTGTCCCATATATAGACTTTTGGCAAACAACTTTTAATTTCAAAAATTAGTATATC